TTTAGCCCCAGGCCTGTCGGGACAGCCAGGTTTTAAGGGCTATGCGGAAGGCCTGGAGGGTGGTGAGGGTACGAATCTCCACGGGGGGGAGTTCGTTCCAGAGGGTCGGAGCAGCCACCGAGAAGGCTCTCCTCCGGGTAGTCGCCAGTCGACATTGACCGGCTGATGGAATTCGGCAGAAAAGCTTGGATGAAACCATCACTGGACTTCCTCCTCCGGGAAGTCATATGATGGTTTCTAGTCTTCACAAATCCTGTTTTTCTCCAGGAATTCAGAGCTATATGCACATCCCTTTCTCTCTCCTCCTTAGTTTTCTTCCCAACCACATGGGAATAGGCTGAAAGGAGACAGAATGACTGGTCCAAGGATGAAACCATAGCTGAATGTGGATTTAGGTTTTCACTGTCAAAGACCAACACCTTAACCAACACACCGTAGAGGAATAGATCATGTCTAGTTTCCCCATGGATCTTTCTTAATCCATAATATCCCTTATGAGAAATCCCAGGGGTGTTTATCTCCTCCCACCGTCGAAATAACCCCTGCTAGAATTTTATTTCAGGAATGCATGAAACTGGCTCGGCAGGTGCAGCTTAAGACAGAAGGAAAATACTTCTATTCCTCCTTCACTTTTTGAACCGAACGATTTGTACACCTCTGTGTCTTGGCCATCATGTCCCTTCCTGTCTGGTTCTTTGAAGGTCACGGCAGATCCATATTACGATCAATCTATCTCTATCTACCTGTCAGAAAACTGGATACTCTTGGGTCAAAAGTGACCTTCAGTATCCACAAGGATGTTTAACCATCACTGGATGGCAAGATTAAGAATCGTGTTATTTCTTCGGCTCATGGATATTTGAGGTGGCATGGAAGAGAAGGAGAAGGTCTTGGGTGTCCAAGGGAAAACTCATCAAGGGAAGAGCATCCCAGATCAACTCAAACCAAAACAGCCCGAAAGAAGATTCACCCAGCGTCCGATCCAAACAAAATAGACCGCAGAGCATCGGTAGCAATATTAACAGAAGCACAATGCAATGCCATTAAAAGCCGGAGTGGTAAATAATACGAATTGTAATAAACTTAATCGACGTAGCAGTGGCCGCTGTCGTTAATATGATTTGCTGCACCCAAGTTGTCAAGGAATTGGAGGCCAAAATCTTTCTCTGCTAGCCAGGACCTTGGGAAAAGTTTCCCACCCTGCCCAAGGGTGATCCACACCTCCCGCAATCAGAACAGCCTTCTGGTCCATGGGCTGCCCCAACAGAGAAGGTTTCAAGCAGCGAATCGGCAGAGCGACCTGGTTCTCTTCTCGCTCCAGGTCACGACAGCGGCCGGAGGGAGGACTTACCTGGCCAGGGGCTCGGCACGGGAGGTGATCTTGGTCATGATGATGCTTCCCAACCTGGGGGTGGCCACGGCGCGGAAGGTCCCTTCCCAAAACTTCTCAAACAGCTGTTTCTCGCCTTGCTGTAGGCTGGCCATGTCGCTGAGCTCTCCGTGGTGCTGAAAACGCACCCCGCGTGGACATCCAGGAAGGGCGCGTGGGGTTTCTCGGCGCCCGGAGGAGGAAGAGGAGGGAGCAGGATTGGGACCCTGGGTGGGGGACTCCCGAGGAGACGACCCTGGAGGAGAAGGGGGCCTCTCGATCCAACTACGGGGTTACCTTGATTGAGGCGTTTTCCTTCCTTCCTTCCTTCCTTCCTTCCTTCCTTCCTTCCTTCCTTCCTTCCCCCTTCAACCCGGCGAACAATTGAGGGGACGCTCAATTTCCTCCTTCCTTTCTTTTTTGCCCCCTTTTTGTCTTTCTCCTCCCTTCTCCTCCTCCTCCGTCTGTCTCTCAGAAAGGGACACAAAAGACAGGCGCGCTCCTCGCTCCGATTGCCCTCACAAAAGATGCGTGCCTCCCCCTCCCCCCCCCCTCCGGAGCGAGGCGGTGCCGAGGGTGGTCGTGTGCTTGTCAATAGCTTGGGAGGGGAAGGGGGCGAGGCGAGGGCGCTGAGTCAGAGGGGAGGGCAGAATTGGGGAAGGGAGGAGACCAAGGCGCAGAAGCCTCTCCCCCTCCCAGCTAGCTGCCTGGGCGCACACAAAGACACGCGCCCAGGCGAACACGCGGAGACCCACTTAAGTCCGGAGCAGACGGGTGCGGTGGGGGGGAGGAGGAGGAGGGATGTGGGCAGGATGAAACCATCCAAATTCGCCACCTCGTGGTCGAGTGAAGTGGGGTGGGGGGGACAGCAGAGCTCCTTGTGGGCCCCAAGTCTTGGCAACTTCCCCACACAGTTAGGAGGGAGGTAAATACACACACATACACACGCCAGCCGAGCCAATTTGTCAGCTGCCAACCAAATCCGCTTTCTCCAACCTGATTCTCTCTGGTTGGGAGGAGTGCCAACTGTCAGCCCCTTCAGCTAGGAAGCTCTGGCGGGTAAGGGAGAAGGCTCTCTCTCTCTCTCTCTCTCTCTCTCTCTCTCTCTCTCTCTCTNCTATCTATCTATCTATCTATCTATCTATCTATCTATCTATCTATCTATCTATCTATCTATCATTTTCTATCTATTATTTATCTAATCTATCTTCTATCTATCTATCTATCTATCTATCATCTATCTCGATCTACTATTTTCTATCTACTATTTTCTATCTACTATCTATTTATCTATCTAATCTATCTTCTATGTAATCTATTTTCTATTTATCTACCTACCAACTACCTATCATCTATCTATCTATCATCTATCTATCTATCTATCTATCTATCTATCTATCTATCTATCTATCATCTACCTACCTACCTACCTATTTTCTATCTATTTATCTATCTTCTATGTAATCTATTTTCTATTTATCTACCTACCAACTACCTATCATCTATCTATCTATCATCTATCTATCTATCTATCTATCTATCTATCTATCTATCTATCTATCATCTACCTACCTACCTACCTATTTTCTATCTATTTATCTATCTTCTATGTAATCTATTTTTTATATCTATCTATCATCTATCTATCTATTAATCTATTATTTTCTATCTATTATTTATCTAATCTATCTTCTATCTATCTATCTATTAATCTATTATTTTCTATCTATTATTTATCTAATCTATCTTCTATCTATCTATCTATCTATCTATCTATCTATCTATCTATCTATCTATCTATCTAATCTATCTATCGTCTATCTATATCTATCTACCTACCTACCTACCATCCATCTTATTTATCTATTATTTTCTTTCTTTCTATTTTCTATCTACTATCTATCGATCTAATCCATCCATCCATCCACCCACCCATCCACCTACCATCTATAACATATCTATCATCTATATATCATCTCTCTCTCTCATATATATCCCTCCCTCCCTCCTATATATCTTATGCAATCATAGAGACCTAGGCCTGGAAGGGATCTTGGAGGTCATCTAGTCCAACCCCTTGCTCCAGCAAGAGAACCTAGACCATTTCGGACAAGTGGTTGTCCAGTCTCTTTCTAAAAACCTCCAGTGATGAAGTCCATGCAACATCTGGTGGCAAGCTGTTCCACTGGTTAATAGTTTTCACCGTTAGGATATTTTTCCTAAATTCCAGGTTGCTCCTCTCCTTGATGAGTTTCCACCCGGTGCTTCTTGTCCTGCCCTTCAGGTGCTTTGGGGAATAAGTTGACCCCCCTCCTCTTTGTGGCAGCCCCTCAAAATATTGGAAGACTTCCTTTCTATTCCTTTTTTCTAGAAAACATTTTTTTCTTAGCTTCCTTCATAGCATCTTGATGAATCAGCGGTTCACGCAACTGATTTAAGGTAAAAACCAAATGAATTGCATTAAAGCTCATCGCCAGCTTAATCCCGGAATTGCAGGGGGTCTCCATGGATTTCTGTCCCCCTAAGATTAAGACTGTTGAAATCCATTTTGACCTGGTTTCGTTATTTTGCTGCCGAAAGCTGGCTCGTTAAGCCTCCGCGAGATCTTTTTAAGCCTATTTTCCCAGCCAAACGTTTCTCCTCATAAATAAATATTCCTAAATATTTAGTTCTGCCTGCTTCAAATTGAAAGCCAGCCTGTCTCTTTCAAGGCCTGGCTTGCTTCTAATAATAATAAAAATCACCCCAAAAGGTATTCCTCTGCAGAAAAGATTATTTAACCCCCTGCTTCAGGCAATGCACGAAGCCCACCAATCAATAATCCCCCAAAACGCACCCACCTCCTCAAACACTGAACCACGGGGGCAGCTGCTAGTAAATCCGGAGTATCCGTGTTTGTAGGAAAACTGTAGTCCTCCACTTAAGACCAGTATGGCAACCAGAATTTCCACAATGAAGCGAAGTGGCTGTTAAGGGACTCATCCCATGTGTTATGATCGTTTTGCCCCAGATGTTAAGTGAATCCCTGCAGTTGTTAAGTGAATCAGGCGGTCGCTAAACAAATCGGGTTCTCCCCATTAACACTAATTGTCAGAAATTATCTGGGTAAGATCCCCAATAGTGATTACGTGACCCCCCCCTGGGATGCTGCTGTCATTTGTAAAGATGTGCCGATTACTATGCACCCCAAAATTTTTGATTCCATGAACGTTGGGATGAGCCAAGAGTCCGTAAGTGCGAGGACTTGTAAGCCTCTTTTTTCGTTATAAACCGAGGACCCTTAAAAAAAAAAAAAGCAGAAAAGTACTCAAGGTTTTAATCCCGGCTCGCAGGAATTACTACCAGTCCATAGGGGCCAAGGTATATACATATTTTATTTTTTAAAAAGTTTACAGTTTCTTTAATTATACACAACTATTCTGAGAGGTTATAATCCTTAGAAGAGGCATTCGCCACGGGGGGTGTGTGTGTGTGTGTGTTTCTGCCCACCCACCACCCTCAACGCCGCCGCCAGCCGCATCATCGCAATGCCAAGAAGGGGAAGAGGAGAGTTGGGCAGCCAAGGGGAAGGGCCCAGGCATCCCGTTTGACCTCTTCAAGTATTCACACAATGTACCAAATACACTCCGGGAAATTAAGCAAAAACTTTAAAAAAAAAACAAAACCTGGCAATTTTTAAGGGGGCATCCGTTCCCCCCCACCCCCACACACGCAAGAAGGCGACGCCCCAGATCCCAAACTGGAATGGCACACGATGCGGCGACCACCCCTCGTTCCCAAATCTGAGCTGAAGGACACCCAAAGCTGAAATATTTTCCATCTGTCTCGTCCAAATCTCCTCTTCACTGCGAAAGACACCAATCAAACAACCGAACAACCATCCAGGAGAACTTCTCTGAAGTTCTCAAACCATCCAGAACTTCATTGAAGTTCTCAAAGCATCCAGGAGACCTTCACTGATGTTCTCAAACCATCCAGGAGAACCCACTGAAGTTCTTAAAGCTCCAGGAGAACCTCACTGAAGTTCTCAAACCATCCAGAACTTCATTGAAGTTCTCAAAGCATCCAGGAGACCTTCACTGATGTTCTCAAACCATCCAGGAGAACCCACTGAAGTTCTTAAAGCATGCAGGAGACCTTCACTGAAGTTCTCAAAGCATACAGGACTACCCACTGAAGTTCTCAAACCATCCAGGAGAACCTCACTGAAGTTCTCAAAACATCCAGGAGGACCCACTGAAGTTCTCAAAGCTCCAGGAGAACCTCACTGAAGTTCTCAAACCATCCAGGAGACCTTCACTGAAGTTCTCAGGAAGACCCATCTCTCCTCCGAACCACAAAATACAAAATCTCCAACTTGAATTAAAAGGTCATCTAGTCAGCGTGACTTGTGGCGTCGCATTATTTTTAACTCGCTAAAGTCAAGAGCGGCTTGAGAAGGTTGCTCGACAGATGAATCGGGGAAGGTGGTGAAGAGATGGATGAAAGTTTGGTGGCCTCCAGAAAATAGTCCCCGGTCCCCCTGAAGACAGGTCGTTTGCAATTCGAAAAGGATGCGGGAAGCATCCCAGACGGAAAGCAAGACATTCCGAGGAATTCGTTCAGTCAACGTCAACTATGGATCGTCATCTCAACAAGGCCGTCTGAAGAGGGACGTCAGCTCCGCCGACGGTTGGCGGTTTGGATGACGGTGTCGTGAAATGAAGACAATGTTGGCAATTAAACCACCCGGAGAAAGGAAACGGAGAAGGTGCCAACTTGTCTCAAGATCAAGGATGGGAAGGAGACTGAGCTGAAACCTTCTCCGTTCTAAGTCAAAGCTGCTGAGATGTTTCCTCACCAAGTGTCTCCTTTAAGCTCGCTCTCGCCAACCTTTGGCCAACCCTAATCGCTGGGTCAACTCAACGCTACGCCAAGGGACGTCGGAAAGGTTTGCCACGGGGTGCGTGCGTCCCTACATGCGCGTGGGATATCTACGTCCAAGAACTAAATTTCAGAAAGGAGGACCACCCAGCCATGAATGTTTAAGAGAGGAGATGCCCCAAAAGGACCTTCACGAATCAAGAGAGTTGGCAGGGCTAATTTCAGGAGGTGGCAGGGGGGCATACAATGGTGAGTCATCTTTCTATCGGAAATGTGGGTTAGTTTTTGCTCCTTAATTAAAACCAGAATTGTGGTTTCTGCTTGGGCGGAGGTAGGGGGTTTAAAAAAAAAATTAAATTTATGAGCGGTCAAAAATCTCAAAATATCACACTTTATTGTTTCGAGGGGGGGGGGGAAGAGAAAAGGTTTGCCTTCGTGAAGGG